AATGTGGGCTTCCTTCCAGTCAAGCAATTCACCAGCAGCTTTTTCAGGGGCCTCCACCTTCTCTCCCTCCTCCATGTCGTAGCAAATATTAATAGCCCAAGGCCTCGCTGAGTGTGGTTTTTAATAGAATCTAATTTCAGTCCATTTAGAGTGAGACTTTTCATGCTGACTTGGTAATTTGAACTCTGCCATGCCTGATGGGCTGTGTGCATTTTCCCCCATCTCTGCTCCTCACCCCGGGCTGGTGCAGGCACTGGAAATGGGAAGTGGGTCATCTTAATCCGAGCAGCTGTCCATCAGCTATTCGACCTCCCCCTCATTCCCACCATTCTTGGTTTTCCCGATGAGGCCATCAAGAGCAATGGAAGGAGAATGGGCATTGACCACTTTAGTTCCTGACAATGCCTTCTCCTTACAGCTCAGAGACTGCTGCCTGCTAGGGTGGACTGTTAGGAAGCAAAGCATGTTGCTTTTTTTTTTTTTTTGATATGACTAGAAAACAATTGATTCTGGAATCCATCAGAATTATTCCCACAGACTACTGTAGAGCCTTTGCCATGCTTGAGGAACAGAGAGATATCTAAGGGCTTGTGGGAAGGCCTCTTTCTTCTGGAGTACGGAGTGTAGAAAGAGGGAGGCAAACAGGTAGCAAGCACATCATAAATGAGGAAACTGAGGCTGAGAAGGGAAGGGGAAGGAAATGAATATCCTATGGCTACTCTGTAGTGGGAACTGAGCTAGGAGAGGATTATTTCTTCCCCCTCTCAACTCTCTTTTAAGGACTATCACATCTCCATGTGTAGTTTAGGAAAACTAGGTCAAAAAGGTTAAACAGACTGGGCATTGGTAGCTCATGCCTATAATCCAAGCTATGCAGGAGGCTGAGATTTAAGAGTTGTGGTTTGAAGCCAGCCCAAGCAGGAAAGTCCATGAAACTCTTATTTCTACTAAAACTACCAAAAAAATCCAAAAGTAGAGCTGTAGCTAAAGTAGTAGAGAGCTAGTCTTGAGCACAAAAGCTCAGGGGTAGTGTCTAGCTCCAGAGATCAAGTCCCAGAACTGACCAAAAAAAAAAAAAAATTAAGCAGCTTCCCAGAGGCACACAGCTAGGAACAGCTAGTCTCCTAGCTGTGTTTAAGCTGGTATCTACGCTGGTATTCATCTAGCTACCCCAAAAGGTAACATGATTTGAAATGGTGGAGCAAAGCACTTGGAAGTGAGTCTGCTAGTCTCCGAGGTGGTGCCCCAGAACATACCTGGATGTCAAAAACTCTTTCTAATGTTCTAAACATTGTAGTGCCTCTAGCATGCTGTGAGTTGATTCACCACATCTGAGGTGGTGCCTTGGATTGTCAGTTTTTAAAAAGCTCATCCAGTGGTCATGTTTTAGAAGGCACAGGCCTAGAGTGCATGCCTCCTCTCCTGACCTAAGTCTCCCAGGACATCTTCATTTCTCAGAAGCACAGATCTAGTCCAGCCGTGCATTTGCCACTGAATCCATTATTCATCCAGTTTAGGCTCAACACTCAACAGCTTTTGAGCACCCATAATGCACAGGTATTGTGCTATAGACCATTGGGCTACAATCTCTTGAGGAATACCCAGGCAGCGGGAGGGATGAATGTAAGTAGAAAATTATAATTAGTTGTAGCAGACACTGGACAGAGGTAGGACTGGGTTGCTTTGGGAGAATAGGCCATAACTTTGAAGCCGTGATCCTAGGCCAAGACTTAATTAAGGCAAAGAGAAGGTGGAAGGATGTGGAATAGACATTTAGGCAGAAGGAGCAGCATGCAAAGTTCCATAGCCCCAGCTATGGGGGTCCAGTCTGTCCCACAGTAGAATGCCTTGGAAAAGGGGGTAAGAAAAGTCAGAGGGAGAAAATGCACAAAAGACCTGGTGTTCTGTGTTATATATGCATTTTGGCCTTTATCCTAAATGTGATATTTAGCTACAAAACTTTTAAAGCTGTGAAACCCATGATAAAACTACATTTTAGAAGAGCCGCTCTGACAGAAACAAGATAATAAACTGTAGGCAGGAAAAGCTGGCAATAGAGGAACAAATGAATTGTGGTATTCAGAATTTATGCGTGTCAAAAAGCACCATGAACAAAATTGGAAAGCAAAGCACTTGGAAAGCAGATTGGCAGCATTTCTTCACAAAAATAATATTCTTGAAATTACAAATTGATAATAAAAACATACCAATATCAAATAAATAGAAATTTCACAAAGAATGAAGTATAGATGGTCAATAAGCATATGAGAATGTTATTCACTAATAGCCAAAGAAAGGTAAAATGACAGGTTAAAATAACATTGACATACAATTATTTTGCCTATCAAACTGGACAAGATTTGTTAAATGACAACTTTCAGTAATAGGGCCCTAGGAATAGGATACTCTGGAGACTACCAATAGGACCATGTTTGGTACAAACGCTTGGGGATTGGGGAAGGGGTGTCAGCTGTCGACATATATCAAAATCCTTAAAAAATAGCTGAACAATTTCCTTCTAGGATTAAATCCTCAGGAAATGGTTGTTTAGGTGCAAAAGTCAGTGGCAAGAAAGTGTGCTACATCTTTACTTATCATAGTGACTGGGAACCAATGAAATCAACGTTTGGGGACTCACTGCAAAATGAGGGACTACCATAGTGAAGGTGCTTTTAGTAAAGTTTGAAAGACATGCAGAAAGCATTCTTCATATATTCAATGAAGTAAACGGAAGAGCAAAGACATGTCTGCTATGCTACTTTTTTTGTGTGATCAAAGAACATGTATATGTGCATATATATATACATATATATGGGTTTGAAAATGTTTATCTGTGAAATTGGAGAGGAATTAAGATGTTGGCAGAGAGTGGAGAAGAGTTAATTCTGAGCTTTTTGTACTTTTGAATGGTTAATCTATTTACATATTTATATTCTAATATATAAATGCATGTTTTGAAAAGTAAAGTTATTGAAGAGGATGTGCAGTATGATGCAGTTTTCCATTAGAAACAAAGCAAACCTGCTGTGTGCTGGTGGCTCATGCCTGTAATCCTTGCTACTCAGGAGGCTGAGATCTGAGGATCATGGTTCAAAGCCAGCCAGGCAGAAAAGACCATGACTTTTATCTCTAATTAATCACTAAAAAGTTGTAAGTGGATGTGTGGCTTAAATGATAGAGCACCAGCCTTGAGCAAAAAAGCCAGGTGAGAGCATGATGCCCTAAGTTCAAACCCCAGTACCAGCACGCGCGTGTGCACATACACACACACAATCACACACACACACACACACACACACAAATCTATGCATGAATATATACATAATATATTCAAAAAAAGAACTAAGATATATCCAAAAGATAAAACTCTGTTGTCTTGGGTGGCAGGATGATGGGTTGAATTTTTGTCTCCCACTCCAAGTGTCTACATGTGAGGTTTTCATAATTAAACAAAATGTATGGTTTCCCCTTCTGTTCCCCTCCACAAAAAGCCTATCACAAAAATCCAGGCAGAAGATGACTATGCAGGTCAGATCCATGACTAGTGCTCTGTTTACATAGTTCAACAGTGACATCCACAAAGTGTGTAATTAAATTTCAGTCCCTTTTTTTTAGGAGGGGTGAGGGAAGGAAGTAAAAAATTTGGAAAAGTGAACAGAGCTAGTTTTGCTCAACAGCTCTCTAAAGTATCTGTTGGACAAATGCTCATTAAAGTTGAAACCTGCCACCCTAAACATTAGTTGACATCTCAGGTAGCTTCTTTGGGGAGGAGGATCATTGAAATTTGGGTCACAGTGAATGGAGTTCCCATAAGTATGTATATCTAAGTCAATGGACAAGCTAATGGCCTATACGCTTGTTCCGTTGTCTTCACCTACTTCTGAGGTCCCCTTGGGATGTTGCCAGTCTTATTCCCATCTGTCCAGCTCCACTCCAACTCAGTCAATCAAGCAAGACTTCTCTCTTGCTTCCATGTTGGAAATACTCACACAGAGTCCTTCATGATGCATGAAAATCAAAGGAAGACCCTGCCAGTTTGATCTAGTTCTGTAGGCCACCTCTGACCTCATTTTTATCCTTCAATTCCTAACAGTTTGTCAACTTGCATACTTTCTGATCTGGAGGCTTAGGAATGGGGTAGTTTTGCAAACAGTCCTATATAGGCCTATGGCAGGAGTGAGAATAGGAACAGGGAATTGGGCAGCTGGAATGGCTTTTTCCTTTTGCTCTTCTTCAGAAGCAAGTCATTGTGGACCCCTGGATAGTTCTAGCACCTTCTTGAGGTTCCCATTTAGAGTGTCTGGAGAGCTATGTAACTATAACCTGTGCTGCTGGTTTGTGGGCCCCTCCGCTATTACTGGATCTTGTAATGGCACAGCCTCTACTTAAACAAATAACACATAATTAAATCTGGGTCTCCTTTTGGCCCATACCTGTAATTGCGGTCCTTTCCCACTGCTGGGCAGGGTGGAATACCCAGGTAGGTTGTTCAGCTATGTTCTGACCCAATCAGCAAGTATAACAGATAATACACTGAACTAATTCCAGGTGTCAGCTGTTTCCTCCTGGATGGTCACTGCTCTAGCCAGTAGGATTCTGATCTCTGGTCTTTTTCTGCCTTGGGTAAATATAAGAGGAGGCCCATGTATCACCACTGTGAACATTTCTCAACTTAGTGCAGTGTCGTGCTCTCAAACAGCTGTGACTTCCCAGAATAATATATATATGTTATATATGCATGTGTGATTACATATATGTATATATATACATATATACACATATGGAGAGAGAGAGAGAGCATGCACTAAGGATAGCACAGTTAGTAACTAGAGCTCCAGAGTCAGATCTGGTTCAAGTTCTAGCTATGTCCTTTAAGGCCATGCAACCTCAGGATTGTTCATTTTCCTGGTTTTCCATGTTCTTATCTACGACATAGGAAAAGTATCTCACAGAGTAGTCATCGTATGAAAGAAACGAGAGTTTCCATGTAAAGATCTGAAGATAGTGCATTTAATAAATCCTAACTATTAACATTATTGCATCTGCTTATATCTTAGTTTTATACGATATTGTGTCACTAACCACACGAAAAATACATGAAAGTGCTTTGAAAATGTTTAAGCATCATATAAATTAGCAAGGTCATTGGTAATAATCCATAAGCATGTCTCAACTTCTCCATCTCCTCAAAGATTGGGACTGTATCATGTGTCCCACAGCATATTGCACTACAATGGGTGAGCAGTAAGCCCTCAGTGAATGTTTCTTGTTTGACTGAAGCAACACAGCATAGCATGAGGAAGGCTAGATATCAGGAGATGAGGCTGGGGTAAAATTAGTTTAAGGCAGGAAAGTCAGTCTGCAGTCATAATTGATTCATTCAACACATTTTTGTTGAATACGTTCTACGGGCTAGATATTAAGTTCAGATAGTTTCATCCTAAAGAAGCTATACGAGTTTCCACACAGCCAAGCCCTAGGGCCAGTCTCCACAATCTCAGCCCCGCTCTTTAGAGTACAAAGGCTGCAGCTGACATGGTGTACAGAGCTGGACAAATGGCAAATGGCTTTGGGAAAAGCCCTGTTCTGCCTGGCTACAAGCAGCTCTGACTGAGGTTTGGGAGTGGACTGCTTCCAACAGAAATGACAGCAACTGCTGCTGTGGATTTGTTTTTATGTATACTGAATGTTCCACAGTCCCGTCACTAGCCTTTGGCCTCATCTCCCCATCCCATCCCCTACACAGCCTGCCCTGCCCCTACCCTTGGCCCAGCTGCCTGCTGGCTGGAGGTGGGGAATGGTATGTGTGGTCACCAGAGGGCCCTCAGAGTGGGCCTCGATGGCATGTGAATCCTGGCAGAGACTCAGATCCCTGAGAGGGAGAGAAGAAAGCACAAGCCAAGCCAAGGGAGGGAGGGGGTGGCAGGGACTAAGGTGACTGGGGAGAGGTGGGGGACTCCAGTGTACAAGTTCACAGTCTCTATGTTGGCTTCATCCATGCTTCAGGCTGTTTGTCTCATCCCTGGATTTGTTCCAGTTGCCTCAAGATGCTCTGGCGTATCAGGAAGGTGTAGAAGGATCCAGTCCGTGGGCATCATGTGTGCTGCCTGTCAGAAGCACTGGTCCAAGTCCAGGCCCCATTTCCATCCCCAGACTGTGAGACTCCTCCCCAGCTGTCCCAACGCAAGCAAGGCCTGCCTCAGGCACTGACCTACAACAGAAGAAGATGGCTCCATGTCTGAGCAGCCACCATCTTCCAGTTGAGCTGCTCACACCTTCTTTTCACACTGGGAGTAGACACAGTGTTGGGGAGCAACAGGAGGAAGAAGAAGGTGCCTGAAGAAGTGGGAAGAAAGGGACAGAACCCAGGGTGAGGCTCTCCACCACGGGGGCCTGGGGTCCCCGGTCAGGCATGGGCGCGGCTCCGGAGAGGGCTCCTGGTTACATGGCTTCTTTCTCCCTCTGGGAGCATCTGCTGAGCTTCATCTCGGTCAGCTGGATGTACCGAATCACATTGGTGTCTATGAGGAGAGAAACAGCACCAGAGGTCTGCACAGGATTCGGCAAAAGCTGGGTCTGCAGCTCAGGTGCAGGGTCTGCAGCTCAGGTGTAGGCCCAGCTCTGCCTCATGCATGCTCAGCCTGAGGCCCTTCTGTCTTACCATGGTGGTGGTGGTGGCTCAGAGGGGCGCCAGAGACTGGTCTCTTCCTTTACTCCATCCCCTTAGCAAATGTGGACAGGTCACCATGGCCCAGGGGACAGACAGGAAGGAGAGGAGAGAATTTCTCCCCCTATTTCTATTTCTATGCAACAGTAATCTTAGTGGGCGCCCTCAATCAGCCTAGCTAACTGAAGATTCAAATTGGAGATGGTCCTCAGACAAATGACCAACTTCTCTACGTTTCATGTCTTGGCTGAAAGAAATGATTTTTATTCTATTTATTTATTCATTCACTCATTTGTTTATTTCTCTTTGTGATGATGTTCAGGCATTCGATCTTGCTAGGCGGGCACTCTACCACTCAAGCCATGCACCCAGCCCCTTTTGCCCAGGTTATTTTTGAGATAGGCTGGTCTGGACCACAATTCTCCTATTTATACTTTCTACTATATCTGGAATGATAGGTATGCAACCACCACACCCAGCTTTTTCTGTTGAGATAGGGTCTTGTAAATTGTTTTTCGCCTAAGCTGGTCTGGAACTGTGCAGTCCTGTGTCAGCCTGTGTGTAACTAGGGGAAACAGGTGCATACCACTGTGTCTGGTTATTGCTGTTGCAATGGGGGGGCAGGACAGAGGGAGGGGGCAGGTTGCATGAAGTTTAGTCATAGGCTGTGCTCAAACCATGATCCTTCCAACCTCACTTCCTGAGTAGCTAGGATAATAGGTGTAAGCCACCAGTGCCGGGCCAAACTTCATTTCTGAGTATCAGTTTTGAACCAGGTTTGAGATGGGGACTCACTTTGTTGCCTAAGCTAGCCTTGAACTCCTATACTCAAGCGATCTTCCCACCCCAGCCTCGAGTAGCTGGGACTACAGGTATGTGAAACCATACCCGGCTGTGGTATTTTTAGCCTTCATGATCACATCTAATTCTCATTACAGTTGTGTGAAGTGTACATCCTCAGGATCACTGTGACAAAAGAGAAAGCTAGGACCTGGAGACATTAAATAAAATACCCAAGCAGATACATAGTAACTGGTGTGTCTGACTCCAAAGCCTTCTTTTCCAGTGGCCACATAAAATTGCAGTGAGGACCAGTGAGGTAAATCTAAAATTACTTAATATAATGATCAATAAATATTAGTTAAATGTCACTTGTTTTAACCTGAGGAGTTTAAAATGACTTTGCTTCATGGCCTTATTTTTGTCTTCAGAAATAGGGTCAGACAACGAACTCCACAGCCAGGGCATTCAGCAACCCCTCTCCCATTCCAGTCCTCAAATTAGTGAAGAAGGCAGGACATGGAACAGCTCCTGAGCTCTGCAGTCTGGAGCAGAAGACTTATATGGTTACCTGGGATGTTTGCTCCCAGCTGTAGAAATGAACATTGCCTCATGCTCAAAAGTCCATGCAAAAGAGCACTGACACACGTAGGTGCTCAAGAAAATTCTGTTGCATGACACCAGTTCACTCTTAGTCCTCAAGTTGCTTACAGTAAAGCTGTCAGAACACAATTTGTATATAGTAGATAAAAATAGTGTTTTAAAAAGACAAAAAGAACATACATTCAGACATTTGCAAGTGGAAGATGGACTGCAAAAAACCCCAAATAGACAAAAAAGCCCAAGCCCCAAAAAACAAAAACACCCCCCCCACAAATCAGCCACATGAAAAAAATAACAAGTCAAAGTATTACCTCTCCCTGTCCACTCTGCTTTATTCACTGTATAGCATTTACCATGACTAAATCATAGGTCAGCTATTTTCCCATTTGTACTATCCATCCTCCTCCAGTAAAATGTAAGTTCTTTAAACATATTAACCTCCCTCTCTCTCTCCATCTCTCTCTCTCTCTGTCTCTCTCTCTCACAATAGGAGGGACCTTACTATGTTGCCAAAGCTGGTCTCAAGTGGTCCTCCTGTCTCAGGTCCTGAGTGCTTGGACATTGTCTCTGGACCTCTAGGTACTCAGCACTTATAATAGTTCCTGGCCCATTGTACTCCCCGTGGAATGAGTGGAGGAATGACTGGGTGAGCTAATGGGCATGATCTAAAGGGATGGTGCAGAGAACTCAAGCTCTGAAGATGGTATCTGACTGGAGAAGTGAGAGCAAACTTTGGGAAAGGTGCAGAGCTTAACATCACCACTCTCAGTCTGTACTGTCTCCAAACAGATGTGAGCCTCCCATGGGTGGGTATGATGTCTTTTTATCCATATGTGTGCTGCTGTTCAGCAGACTATGGTTGATGATAAGAATGCAATATACATATATATATATATATATATATATATATACTGTTACATATAATATGTATTATATAATATAAATTATATAGTTATATATAATATGTATTTACTTATTGAAAGTAAAGGGGGCTGAACTTTAAGTTGGAAAGAGAAGATTCTGTGTACTTGAAGAGAAGAGACACACATAATTCCTGGAACCCAGACTCTTGTAAATGAATGGAATATATATATATATATATATATATATATATATATATATATATA